ATCTCTCTCTCTCTCTCTCTATCTATCTATCTATCTATCTATCTATCTATCTATCTATCTATCTATCTATCTATCTATCTATCTAATATACAAAAGACTGCCTGACATGATGCGGTTTCCTGTGTAAACTAATTCATGAAGTATGTTGTTTCCATTTTCATAGTTTCCTCAAGTAGTTTCTATTGAATATTAGTGAGTGTTAGCAAATTAATATTTTAGCAACATGTATTTGAGTGATTGGAGAGAACAATTGCTACGGGTATATTATTTTAGTGTTCACACCTATATAAAGATAAATTACATTGACACGAAGCTTCTTTTCGAACGATGCAATTCCGGTACAAAGTTACACGCTTACTTCCGTATTCGGCGTTGGCAGGAAGTTATCTCCCTTGTACCTATAATGCCTTGCGCACTCGCCACGTCCGCAGCAGCCATCGGCACTTTTGCATGAGTTCTTCGAGGTAGCGGAGAGAGTAAACTTGCAAAATGAATATCTTTCGGCTCATCGGGGATATGTCCCATCTCTTGGCAATAGTTTTACTGTTGCTGAAGATGTGGAAAACGCGATCTTGTGCAGGTAAGTGTGTTTTGTTGTCAATACTGACGGTGTGCTCGATCCTTTTCATAGTCTGCAATGTTGACAAACCGGCGAGGCCTACTTACGTTATCGGAATTGACGTGTAACTAATCTGTTGCTTGGAAAAGCAATTGACCTCACTTTTTTATTTGAATTATGAAAACCGTGATTCTTCATAGCCTGGAATGCTGTGGCAAATGGTCTCCTCTCTATTTATTAGATTTTGCAGTCGGCCTTTGTTTTGATTTTACAGCTCGGTCTGGGAGTGGGAGTGGGAGTCCAGTGGCAGTGAATCCCTGCTGCTGAACTGAAGTGCAGCTGAGCTTGACCATAATTAGGCCTAATTGAAGTTGCCATCAGACCCTCTCCCATAGTGGTTAGGCCTGGTTCTAGAATCTAGATCTAGATCTGTCTATTGCTAAACATTTAATTCAAGTGAGGGAAAAGCTTGCTGAGCAAGGTTGACATGATACAATTTGCCTCGAGAAAGTGGTTGGATAAGCTATGCCACTGCCAGGCTATGGGCATGGCCTATAGATCTAGATTGTGAAATCTCCTAGATTCTAGATCTAAATCTAGATTTCTACCCTACACTGTCCTATTGGTTCATTGATTGAATCACAATGAAAGGCACTGAACAAAATGTGTTCAATGTTCAGTGCAATCATCAGTGACTGCAACAGTACAACTACAATCATGCTTTAGTCTAACCTTTAGTTTTTCAATTGATTAAAAGTCATTATTAGTTGAGCGTTTCAATTTATTTTTAGGGAGTGTATACAGACCCGGTAACCGGGAATAAAGTCACAAAGTATACAGACCCGGTAGGGGAACTCTTTTGTGATTTCGGAAAGTTTCAGCACCCTCTTGGCTCAAGGTAGAACTAGGTTCTTCTAGGCCTATGGCCTAGGTCTAGATCTAGACAGACAGATAGAAATCATTGATCTAGTTTCGAGGCTAGCCTAGATCTAGATTCTAGATCTAGATATCTAGATCTAAAACTAAATGAAGATTGCGGATGTCTTTTCGATGAACGATCGTTTTTCCCCTGTTTTGGAGTT